GAATGCATGGTCTGTTCTGCTGGACCTGTCTGACGACTTGGGGTCCCCCAGAGATGGGGACAACTTTGTCCAGCCAGGTTTTCTCCCTGTCCCACGAATATTGTCTGCTCTATCCACAGCCTTCTCTTTCACGCTCCTCTGTCTCAGTTCCTCCTCCACAGTTTTGCCTGTGTTCTTCCCCATCCACTTGCCCCCATTATTCTTCTTCCATAGTAAAATATCTAGAGAGAGGGGATTTCCTTAGCCACATCTGGTTCCTGTACTTCACAGAGGCCCGTTTAAACCATCCAACTCCTCCTCCTGGGTCCCCAGGCCCTCCTGAGCTTTCATCTAACCGCATTATTAACCTTGCCTGAGAAGTTCCCCCAGCATACTTATATTTTCGTGGATGACCCTTGAAAACAAAGTCTTGCTAGCTCTGGGTCTAGAGTGTGACATTCACACTGAGAAAATATGATGTGGTCCTCTTGGGGGAGCCAGTGATACTTTGCTGTATATATTTTCTAAATTGTTAATTTTGTGAGTGTCTCATGTATCCCAGGCTAGCCTTAAACTTGATTTGTAGAAAAGGATGGCCTTGAACTTTTGATCCTCCTGCCTCCACTTCTTGAGTTTTGGGATTACAGGTGCACTCCACCATGCCCAGTTTCTGGGGTGCTGGGGATCAAACTCAGGGCTTCCGGTAGGCTAGGCAAGCACTCTACCAACTGAGCTGTGTCCTCAGCCCTTTAAATACTTTTTACATGCTTGGAAATTTAGAGTTAATTGGGTCAAGGATAAGATTTCAGTTGGCATAAGTCCCTGTTAAATTCAAGGCCCCACAGAAAAGGCCGTGTGTGACACGTCTAGTTTGTCTTTCACATGTGTGTAGTGACCAGCTGTGCACTTTCTTGGAAGCACACTGGGTGCTGTGGGTTACCGTTACCTGCTTTCCAGAAGAACCCAGTACAAATGAAAAGTGAAATTGTTAGGAATATCTGGTGCCTGCAGTTAACTGAGGAGTGAGTGCTTCAGAGTATGCGGCCGGCTTCTCGTGACAGGCTGCAGGCTGTGTACCCAGCCCTGCCTATGAGGGTGAACCAGGAACTGGACACGGACTTTTCCTCTACTAAAAACAGACTAGAGCATCTGGAGTTTGAAAGGAACAGGAGACACTCCTGCAGTGTTCTGTATATAAAAAATCTGGTTTCATGTGCTTATTTTTTCTTCACTTAAGTGTAACCTAGATACCTCTGTGAGTACCTGCCAAGGAGCAGCGTTTCAAAAACAAAGCTATCTCTGCTCTCCTACCCAGGTGTGGCAGCCAGTGGAAACAGGCCTGAGGTTCTGAGTCTGTTTTCATGTTTCTCTCCTCTCAGGGAAATTCTGGGGGCCCCTTGGGGCCCCAGTCTTGGGAGTGAAGCTGCAAATGTGAGGGCCCCATCTTCTTTCTTCCTTCCTTTTACAGCCAGACACCCAACGGGAAGATGGCAGAGGCCGCCTCTGTGCAGGCCCCTAGTGGAAATTCCCCACTCACTGTTGCTGTTGGCGGCTGCCCCTGAAAGCCCATGACCCTGGCAGTCAGACACATCCCACAGACAGTGTGGGGGCTTGCTGCCTGAGTGGGGAATATACAGATCAGCTGGAAGGAGGAATGTTTGGGTTGAAAAGCTCCAAGAATCACTTCTGAGCTGGTGAGACCCACTGCCTGCATCTCAAGATGCCACTGGTACAAGCCTTGACTTTTACACATCTGTGACAGAACAGAAAAGTTCTTTTCTGCTATTTGCAAGAAAATGATTTTTTAAAAACATTTTTGATTTATTTTTATTTTACGTGTATGAGTGTTTGGCCTGCATGGATGTGTACCATGTGTCTGCAGTGCCCATGGAGGCCAGAAGAGGGCATCGAATCCCCTGGAACTGGAGTTACGATGGTTGTTAGCTACCATGTGGGTGCTGGGAACTGAACCTGGGTCTTCTGCAAGAGCAGTCAGTGCTCTTAACCTCTGAGCCATCTCTCCAGCTCCAGAAAATGATTTTTTAAAAAACAAAAATGAATATGCCCAAGTTCATTGATCTTTATCTTAGGAAAAAGATGGGGGGCCATGGAGATGGCTCCATGGAGAAAGGAGGTAGTTGGGCAAGTCTGATGACCAGAGCTTGATGTCTTCAACCCAGATTCGATACCATGCATCTGTAATCCCAGCATTCCTATGATGAGATGGGAGGTAGAGACAGGGGAAGCTCTTGGGTGGGCTAGCCTGGAGTATGCAGCACAGCAGCCAAAACAAGAGAGACCCTGCCTCAGCAAGGTGGAAGGCCAGAACTGACTCCTGAAAGTTGCCCTCTGACCTCCACATGCATTTTCCCTAATGAATAAATATTTTTTAAAACATAAAAATAAGGGCAGGGAGAGATGGCTCAGAAGTTAAGATCACTGTCTGCTCTTCTAGAGGACCTGGTTTTGATTCCCAGCACCCACATGGTGGCTAACAACTGTCTGTAACTTCAGTTCCAGAGGATCTGACGCCCTCTTCTGACCTCTGTGGGTATTTCACAACACAGGTGCACTTATGTACATTCAGGCAAAATACTCATACACATACAATAAAAATACAATAAATAAAAAAAATTTAAAAACAGGAAAACAGCCGGATATGGTGGCACACACCTTTAATCCCAGCACTCATGAGGCAGAGGGAGACAGATCTCTGTGAGTTCAAGGCCAGCCTGGTCTACATAGTGAGTTCCAGGACAGCTGGGGCTACAGAGGGATCCTGTCTCAAAAAGACCCCCTGCCCAAAACAAAACAAAACAAAACAAAAAACCCCCAGGAAAACAAGAAATACCTTTTACCTGAGCCAGAATAAACCTTTCTTCCTTCTGTCAGATATTTTGTCACAAAGGTCTAGAAAAGTAACTAATCCAGTAATATTTTCATAGCCCTTAGGGAAGAACACGAGTCTCTTCCTTTGTGTGCATCTGTAAATGGCTTATGAAGTACTGAGCCCATTGAACAGATGGGTAAATAAAGCACAGAGATTGGTGGATCACAGGAATCCAGATAAGCATGGAGGCTGGCACTGGCTCCCAGCCTGACTAATCATGGACAAACTGCTCGGCCTTATGTGACTCACCCCACTAGTTGCCTCAAGGCAGCGCTTCCTAGAGCTATGTAGAAGATGCTAAGATAACAGATGTAGAAACCAGAAAGCCCAGTTTGGAGGACACCAGCATGTGTAAGGAGTGTGCCGCTGAGGTTTGATCGCCCCTGCAGATGAACCTGTATTCTATACCAGGGAACCCAGAGACGCACAAGTAAGCACGGGGCACATATACCATCTCAGACTCAGGCGGGGGCCCTGGGCCTGGCATCATGGGTAGGCCAATGCTTAAAGGATTTGAGCCTTGAAAATGTAGGAATTAAATTCCTTGGTGAGAAGGTGCAGCTAAAAGCCAGAGCCCCAGAAGTGTCCAAGGTTTGGGGACCTTCTGGGGTGCTAATCCCAATTGACTTTCTACTTTGTGTGTGTGTGTGGGTCCCATCATCTGTCGTAGAAGGCTGTGGCAGTTGCGGGGGGTTGTTGAAGGATCAGATTGAATGGATCTTTCTTTCTTCATATCATTTTTATTAAAGGCTAGGTGTGGTGGTGCATGCCTTTAGTCCCAGCTCTTGGGAGGCAGAGGCTGGTGGATCTCTGTGAGATCAAGGCCAGCCTGGTCTATATAGTAAGTTCCAGGCCAGTTGGAGCTACAGGGAGACACTCTCTTAAAAAAGACACACACACACACACACACACACACACA